GATGTGCGTCTCTCACATCAATGCTTCTATCTCTCCATCCATCCATTACACCCTTCTACTCTCTCTAAAAATCATTGGGAAAAATAACCTTGGGTGAGAATTAGCAAAAAAGAGTATTTGATGCACTCAAGTACCAAAAAACAGGATTAGAAACAAGGCCATTCAGCCCTTCTTATACTATTAATCATGGAATGAGAGTGGAAGGGGGTGTTCCTTAAACATGTGCACCACCTTTCAATTTGTAAATTACCACAAGGTACAGCAACTTCACTTTGTTTCACAAGCAAATGTGGAGACTTTATGAATTAATCACAGAATTTAGGTAAGGGGCCTTAGTAATAACCTTTGCTACACCCCTCACTTTGTGGATGAGAAAACCAATACCTAGGCAGATTATACATGTTTATTTAAGGTTGGAAATCTGGGGTTACTACACCAAAAGTCTTGACTTAATAAAAAAAAATTTTTTTTAATATTATCCTTAAGTTCAGACAAACCTTAAAGGAAATCCACCAGCAACCCTTCCACAAAGCAAATCTATATCTGAGTAAGAGAAACTTCTATATAACCTTTTACTCTGCTTTTTGTTTCTGGAACATTAAAAGTTTTCTTGGGTTATTTTTATCTAATGTTCATTAGAGAATAAGCAAAAAATTAATTTATACCTTGTTGTATGTAGACTGTACTGATCACTTGGGGGAAAAATACAGATGGAGTATTTTATTTTTTAAAATATATATTTTATTGATTTTTTACAGAGAGGAAGGAAGAGGGATAGAGTTGGAAACATCGATGAGACATCAATCAGCTGCCTCTTGCACACCCCCTAGAGGGGATGTGCCCACAACCAAGGTACATGCCCTGGACCGAAATCGAACCTGCAACCCTTCAGTCCACAGTCCACAGGTCGACGCTCTATCCACTTAGTCAAACCAGTTAGGGCCAGATGAAGTATTTTAGACCTAACAGTTTAATCAACATATAGGGTAGACTCCATAGAGTGGAGTGAGGTCACTGAAGTCAAACAAAATTGGATTCAAATACCGAGTATTTTTTTCTTTAAGCCCCTCACCAATTTATATCCAAATACTATTATGCTTAAATTTAGCATTTTCCCCAATGAAATGCTATGACAGTACAGTGTAGTGTCTGGTACCCAACTGACTAAATTCAAGTCCTGACTCTTGCTCTTACTTGTATTACCCCAGGTAAGTTCTTGTCCTCTCACACCGGATTGAACATCAAACCCACAACCCAGGTACATGGCCTTGACAGGGAATCGAACCTGAGACCCTTCGGTGTACAGACTGGCACTCTAACTATGGAACCCTACCAGCCAGGGCTTAAATTTCTTTGTTTCCTAAGTACATTAAGGAAACTGAGCTACACTGAAACCAAACTGTGGTCTATAATAAGGTAGGGTTGGTATCGTCCTCACTCGAAAGAGAAGGATCTGCAAGATATTCTGGAAACTGATATAGCCTCCTCTCAGTTATCCTCTCCTATCGTAAGGACCTAACTGTATAAGTGAGTAATTGTGAAATGCAGTCTTGAAGAACTTAATTTGGCAAACTTAAAAGAAGAACCAGGAGAAAAGATTACCCACTATTGACCTACTAAGCCACAGGTCACCCTAATGTCCAAGGAGGTAAGCTATAATTCATACGCACTCCTGAGATATGGAGATTTGGCAAAAGGACAGAGCACTCCAGGTACTATAAGTTTGGTTGTCTGGAAGGGCTTACAATTCATTTATTGCTTTTTTTCCCATGTAGCAACTACCTTGGAATAATAATTACATTTTATTATTACTCAGCATGACAGACCAAAGATGAGAGGGGTCCTGAAATCAAAAGAGGACAGCCTCACAAGTGCCTTATCCTTTGAAAAACATTCATATTTAGCCTATAGGTTAACAGTTATTTGTAGCCTTGTAAAGGGTTTGAAACTGCAGGAATTATACACTGAAAAAATTACTATGTCTCTTAATTACTGACTCTGGATACTTACAACACATTCATCCCCTCATTTTATTCTCACCACCTCTCAGAGTTAAAAATAAGGAAACCAGGGATCCCAAAGCAGACCTCACCCAAACCACAAGGCCATGTTGGTCTTTACTTAAAAAAATAATAAAAATTGCTTTTTAAGACTGAAAAGCAACATAAGACTGTTGTTATCTTTAAGTGATAGGATTCTAGATTTTTATTTCTCTTTATATTCTTCTGCATTCTGTATACTTAATACAATGCACATTCCATTTGAAAATCAGAAACTTCTTTAGCTTAAAGAAGTCTTTGCAAACCACCTTACTGTATTGTATGAAAATCCAATGTCCTGACACTTGGTGAATGGGATGTAGTAATAAGCAATCTTAACTATTGACAGCACTTTTAAAAATTGGTCTGGAAAGTAATGAAACCTACAGATTAGAGGACTGTTCCTCACAGGCATCACCCACATCTCTCAAATACTGTTTTCTAAAGCTTTTGGTTCCTCTAGGTTAAAAAGGCTATGTTGTGGTGAATTTTGGCTTAATTATCAGGTATAAAAAGAAATGTGTTCAGGCCTGGCTGGGTTGCTCAGTTGGTTAGAGGATCGTTCTTATGAGCCAAGATTGTGGATTCGATCCCCTGGTCAGGGCACATACAAGAATCAACCAATGAATGCATAGATAAATGGGACAGCAAACTGATGTTTCTCTCTCTTCCCTCCTTTCTCTAAAATAAAAAAGAACTGTGTACAGTTTACTTTCATTGTCTCCATGTAGAAATTTTTGCTTGTCTGTAGTCAAAAAGTAAGGACTGGCCTAAGAATACTTATCTAGTTTAGTCAATAGTACTGGAGAAACCAGAACCTCACATCCTTCAGAGTGGAAATCAAAGGCTGGTTCTAGTCTCACTAACTTGCTGTGTAATCTTGCGCGAGTTAACCTCCCTGGGCCCTAGCTTCCTGTCTATAAAATGAAGTTAGACTGGTAGACCTAAAAAGTGCCAAGCTACTTAATATTTTATTGGCTTCCAAAAGTTCTCTACTGGAATGCTGGTTCTGCAATATTCCACTTCCTTCAAAACCTGACCCCACTGCTAAAACCGAATCCTCCAGTACCACAAATCTCTCTGTTGATGGCTCTATCTCCTGTAGAAACTATCTGATCTCTCTTAACCTCCCCTATATCACTTGTGAGCACTTTACCATAGAAACTACACAAACAGCACCCCACAGTACTTTGTACTACACAAGTGTTTTATTTTTAAAGGTTATGAAGAGCTTAGAAAATATGTAGAAAAAAACAAAAGTGAAATACTGCCACTCTCAGGACTTTTGAAATACAGTAGCCCAGAGCAATGTCTACCATGACCTCCAAGCAAGAACCATCTACCTTCAGACTCAGTTTCTCCCAAGAGCACAAGAACCTCCTGGTCACCTAGATGTAAGGCAATGTTTCATGGATCTGGAAGTCTACTACTGGCTCAGCCACTTACTATTTGATCATGGGCATGATACAACACTCAAAGCCTCAGTTTTCTCATCCATAAAATGGGGCTAACAACAGTAATACTTATCTTACAGGAGAAATCAAATGAGAAACTGGTGTCCCCTCCAGAATAAATCCAAATTTCTTAATCTGGTCTTCAAACCCCCCTATGAACTGGCCGCTAACCATATTTCAAGGGATTAGCGCTAACCAAATTAGGATAGTCTACTTTCTGTGAGCACTCTTACCTGCCGTCTTAACCACCCCTCTACCCTAAGATCAGCCAGCCTTTCCATCACAGGAAATGCTAAGGATCGTTCAAGGGCTACCTCAGAAGCCAACACTCCAAAAAGCCTAGGATTTTTTCTCTTCTTTCTCTCCAAGGCCCTACAGACCAAGCACTCGAATATTTACAGAAATGAATTACAAATTCAAGAGGCGCCCCCCGCCCCTTTTTTTTTGGTGGGGAGAGCCGGCCGGGAAGCAGTAACTCTCCCACCAGTGTTAATGAATGCCTACGGACAACACCTAAAATCCAGTTTTATTTTAAGCCGTTTGTCTTCACGTGAGCTGGGATGCACCCGGCCATTGGGATTTGAGGAAATGTGCTGAGGGACAAGCACGAGGGTAGAAAAAGGCCCAGCCAGCTTCGCGGCCCCGACTTCCCGCTCTCGTCACTGTGAACTCCGTGAAGGAAAACTCAGGGACTCCGCCCTAAAACTTCCCAAAGTCAGACACTTTCTGAGGCTGAAGCCTCTAGACTTCTCCCCCACCCCCTGGACTTCTTAATAAATAGTTCTCGAGATGAGAGAACAACGGCGGATTCCGACCAGGAAAAGCCAGCCTGCAAAGTTTTGAACGAGGGCGCTCCGCCGGCGCGCAGGGGGGCTCCCTTCGCCCCGGCCGGCGCCCAGCGAGGAGTGCGGGAGCTGCGGGGTCAGATCCAGAGGCACGCAGGGGTCGCCAGCCCCAATCCCGTTCGGTTGGGACATTTAACCAGCATTCAAGCCCCTTAACCGGCACCCAAGCCCCATTCTAGAGGAGCGACTCCATAAACTCTTCATTCCGGAAAAGCCGGCTTCAGCACCGCCGCCCTGAAGAGAGCGGGACGCGGCTGAGACCGCGGCTCCGGAGTCCTCGCGGGCTCTACTGCTCCGGGCCGCCTAGGCCCGGCTGTCCCACATGGCGGCCGGCCGCTAGGCCGCAGACTCGGTCTCCCACACGGGGATGAGTACGGCTCCCCCGCCTCAGTCCCCAGCCCTACCGCCAGGGTCAGGCCCTCACCTCGTCTCCGGACATGGCTGCGGCTCGAGTGGGCTCCGCACGGACGAGAAGTCGAACAGGTTAGCCCCAGGCCTCCGGCGCGGTACCGATCTCGCCGACACCTCTCCCACAACCGCACTAGGCTCTTGCATCAGCGAAAGGGGTGATACCCCGCCCTCGACTCCCAAGCGTTGAAAGTGCGCCTGCGCAGAGCCCGTCGCGGCGCAGGCGCGCGGAGCAGGCGTCCTAACGCGCAGTCTGGCGCGAATTACGCGGCGACGCCGCATTTCGCGACACGCCGGGACTTGTAGTCCTCTTGGAGGAGGCGGGCCTTTGCGCGGCGGCCTCGCAGCGACCCAATCCTGTGCGTGACGTCTGAGGAAGACTTCCGGGAAGGTTCGGTTATTTCCTGTGGTGACTTTTACCTCATGCTTTCGCGGAGTGGGGAGTCTGCTCTTACAGTGAATTCAGGGCCATTTCTCCTGGGTTAAACAGTTATATGGACCCGTTGGGGCTTTCATTTTCCTAATTACTTCTACCGTGCCCCTTTGGGGTGTTTTAGTGTTTGTGAGGAACTCTTAAATTGGAGCTGGAGATACCTCACTAGGGGGTTTTACTTCGTGGGAAATTTAACCTAACAGGTTGGATTTCAACTTGGGAGGTCGCAAACCAAAGAGGAAAGACGTACCCTGAGGAGAAACGGCCTGGCAAGAGCGGACAGTCAGGAACCTCAAAACTCCTTGTTTATGAAGTCTTTGCTTGAACGCGCTGGGCGCATCGTGCAATTCCCTTGAGGCATAATAATAGCAGCTAGCACACGTGTCAAACACAAGGCCCGCGGGCCAAATCCGTCCCGCCAGGCCTTCCAATGTGGCCCGCACCGCGCTGTCATCACTGCACTCCGCTGCGTTTCCATCACAGTGACAGTTTATGACTGTTCAGTAAACCATTCGGCCCACGATTTAGGCTGGATTTTAGATTTTGGCCCCTTCTCTGATTGAGTTCGACACCCCTACGTAGAGAGCTCTCCGCGTGTCATCGCCCTCCCCCCAAAGACCGCCGAGAACATAGCTGGACAAAAGTGTGCTTGTTTCCTGCAAGGTGGGGAGACACGGCATGAGGAACAGTGGGCATCTCATAGAGGGTGCTGAGTCCAGTTTGGCTCAGTGGATAGAGCGCCTCCGGTGTATCTAAGGGTCCCGAGTTTGATCCCAGTCAAGGGCAGGGACCTCCACTGCAGGCTCTTTCCCAGGCCGGAAACAACCAATCAATGTGTTTGTCTCACATAAATGTTTCTCTGTCTTTCCCTCTCTCTTTCACTCTCCCTAATAAAAAAAAACAAAAAATAAAAATAAAAAAAAAATAAAAAAAAAACGGAAAATATCCTCAGATGAGGATTAACAAACAAAACTAAAAGAAAAAGAAAGAGGGTGCTGGAAAGAATGTACAGGATTTGGCTTGTGTTCAGTAATTTCCCTGCTGGGAAATGCTGGTGTGATTAGCAAATTGTCTTCATCGCTTTCGTGAAAAGATTTATTTTCCTTTACAGCATGGTTCCAGGCATGACCTCCCTAACAGACTTTCTTCAGAGATTTCCCCAAAGGTAGTAATTTTTTCCCCCAGGAAAAGCCAGAATTCCCTGGGGTGTTGGCAAGCCACAAAGCAATGGAAGCTAAGCTTTTCCAGGATATACGTCCTACTTAGATTAAGCCAGTGTTTTTCAATCTTTTTTGGGCAAAGGCACACTTGTTTCATGAAAAAAATCACAAGGCACACCACCATTAGAAAATGTTAAAAAATTTAACTCTGTGCCTATATTGACTATATATAAAGTAATTCTCTTGAATAGGAATCAAATAAACACAAAGAAAGTTTTTATAATTACTTTATTATGAAATATTAAGTAAACAAAATAGTGAAAAATTATAAAATTCTTGTCTTGTCTGCACCTACGGCACACCAGGCAACATCGGAACAGCGGTTGAAAAACGCTGGACTAAGCTACTAAGAACATCAACACAAATCATCATTTGTATTTTTCTAACCTCTTTCATCCAGGAATCTCTGCAAAACAAACATTTATTAATTTCTTCCCGTAATGGTGAGGGAAGTCATTATGATTTTCTTGCTTTATAGATACAGGAGCCAAGTTATGAAGTGCACAAAAATTAGTGAGAAATCCAGAAACAGATTACTGGAATCTATACTCTGGGCCATTCTTGATGCTCAGCCCCACCCCAGATCTCCAGCTGCCCAACCGTAAGCTAATGATTATAATTCTTCAATTGTATACTAACTTTTATGCTTTCATAGTCTTTAAAATATTCCGTAGGCTCTTCACTTGACCCATAAAATAGCAGGTCTATAGGGGCTGTGACTTAAATAATTGCAGTACCTGAACTAGAACCCAGATCTCATGAGTCTTAGTCCAATACAATTTCTACTTCATAAGCAAGTCCATACATCCTTGTAAGTGATATTTAACTTATAGAAACCATAATTAAATAGTCTAATCTGCATAGAAATCCAGACCTATTTAACCCTTTTCACCCATGAGCACCTAATTGTATGGGGCCTTTAAGAGTTAGCTTTGGCCGAACCAGTTTGGCTCAGTGGTAGAGCGTCGGTCTGCAGACTGAAAGGTCCCAGGTTCGATTCCGGTCAAGGGCATGTACCTTGGTTGTGGGCACATCCCCGGTAGGGGGTGTGCAAGAGGCAGCTGGTCGATGTTTCTCTCTCATCGACGTTTCTAGCTCTCTATCTCTCTCCCTTTCTCTCTGTTAAAAATCAATAAAATATATTTTTTTAAAAAAAGAGTTAGCTTTGGAGACACACACACATAAAAAAGCAAGTCACTGAGATATTAATGAAAAGCATTGGTAACTCTGAAATTGAATTTATATTTGGGTTCATGTAGTAGACGGAAAGTATAGTGAGGATCCCCCCAAAGAAATCTTGAATAGTTATCATTTGAGAATTAAACCAGTAGGAATGAATTCTCAACTATTTAGTCATATATAGAAATGATTTCTGAGAAAATGTGTCACTGAGGAGATTTAGGAATCAGCATTTCTAACCAAGTTTACTAGGCTATATATATATACTCTAATGAAAATACTATATCCAAATACTGTCATTATGTCAGTGATTACCAAATCCATATTTTCAAACCTAACCTTTCAACCTCACATATCCAAGTGTCTACTTCTCTACTTATCTACATTTGCATGTTGAGATCTCAAAGTTACTGTGTTTAAAACAGAACTTTGTGTATTTTCTCTTGACTTTATCTCAAGGTCACTACCTGCCCAGTTCCTTAAGTCAAAAACTCAGGAGTTAAGTCCTTGCTTTTCCTCACCTTCATTCACTTAATTATCAAATCTTGATTCTATGTTCATAATAAAACTAAAATCCAACCATTTCTATCTCCAATGCCACTAGCCTAGTCCAGGTGATTTTCATCTCTCTCTTGGATATTAGCATTCTCTTTCCCCTTTCCTTCATTACACTACAATTAATTTATTGGCCAGTTGTTCAGTGGTGATTTTCATAATCTCACTTCATTACTATAATGTATATAAATTCCTTGAGGATAGGTACAAGCTGTCTTGTTCAGTATGATATTACCAACATATAACAAAGCCTCGTATCAGCACAGGCACTTAGATACTTGGTAAATATTCATTAAATTACTGGACAAAAATCCAGTAGTGCCCATAATTGCTTACAGTAATTTAGTTGAAGTTGGAGCCTTAATTTATTTTTTTTAAATATATTTTATTGATTTTTATACAGAGAGAAAGGGAGAGAGATAGAGAGTTAGAAACATCGATGAGAGAGAAAGTCATCAATCAGCTGCCTCTTGCACACCCCCTACTGGGGATATGCCTGCAACCAAGGTACATGCCCTTGACCGGAATCGAACCCAGGACCCTTCAGTCCCCAAGCTGACGCTCTATCCATTGAGCCAAACCGGTCAGGAGCCTTAATTTAATCATGTACAGTAAAAATGACTGAAGCTAACATAATTAAAACTAGTTGTAATCCAATATGTCTGAAAGAATGTGTTAGAATTGAAATAGTTCACCTGGAACCCAGAAAGAGAGGAATCTGCCAGGATTTGGCCATGTTTCTTCATCCAGCTGTGTTCAGGATTGAGATATTGTAAACCCAGAGAATATTGTTAAGCTAGTTATTAACATCAATAATTTCTTTAAAATATATATTTTATTGATTTTTTACTGAGAGGAAGGGAGAGAGATAGAGAGCTAGAAACGTTGATGAGAGAGAAACATCGACCAGTTGCTTCTTGCACACCCCCTACTGGGGATGTGCCCGCAACCAAGGTACATGCCCTTGACTGGAATCGAACCCGGGACCTTTCAGTCTGCAGACCGACGCTCTATCCACTGAGCCAAACCGGTCCCGGCATAAATAATTTCTTAAGCTTCACCTGGTTCCTGAATAAAATCATGCACCTCTCTTTTTTTCTCATCATTCACCAATCAATATTTTAATTACCAACTTAGAGTCTCTGGTAACTTTATACCAGGAAGGAAGTACTCTGGACAGCAAACACAAATATATATATATTTATTTATTATTATTATTTTTAATCTTCACCTAAGGATATTTTTCCCATTGCTTTACAGAGAGCTTGGAAGAAAGGGAGGGAAGAAGGGAGGGAGAGAGAGAGATATAAAGATATGTGCCCTTTATCTGGAATCAAACTCGAGACCCTTTGGTGCCAGGGCCGACCCTCTAACCACTTAGCAATACTGGCCAGGCTCAAACTCAAATGTTTTCATCACTGAAAAAAATATTTTAAACTCTCGAATGTAACTCTGTGAGGGCAAGAAATTGTTAATCACAGCTGTGTCCCTAGAACCTAGAATAATGCTTAATTACAAAGATTCTTTATAGGTATTTGACAAATGAATGTGAATTAGTAAATTAGAATTATACTTTACACCACATTCTTTTATGAATTAGGTATTGTGAGTCAGTCCTCAAGTATATTTCCATGCTAGAAGCATTAGAAAAATTAGATTTCTTGTCTTATAGGCCAGATAGGAGATACTGAACTTCAGCACTCTACCACAAGGGTCTGTGTGACCCTATTTGATTAACTAGCTGACATCCTTCTCCGATGTTACGATCTTGGCTTTTTGTAAATTCAGTTCATTCTCCATCTGGCCTGCAGTTTCCTTTAAAAAATCTAATCAGTTATTTCTGTTCCTCTGTTACTTTTAGAATAAAACTATCCACAGTCTGCCTCTCCAGGGCTCTTCAGCTCTGTACTCTCAGCCTTTCTTTTAAATTAAATTTGTAATGTATTAATCCTCTCATGAAAAATCTGCACAGTCATCGTCATAAAGTCACTGAAGAATCTTTACTTCTTTTTGCCAGCACCAGCATTGGCCTTTGCAGTCCTCCTGACTTTCTTCATTCTGTTCTTGCGTTCCTTTCTCTGTTTTCTGGAGGTCTTCTTCTTCTCAGATAGGCCATGTCTTACCAGTGTGTCTTTGGGCTCATTTTCTTTGCATAATCCAAGGAATCATAAATCATGTCAAAGCCAGTGGTCTTGCCACCACCAAAGTGGGTTCTGAATCCAAACACAAAGATGACATCAGATGTGGTCTTATATATTTTGACTAGTTTTTCCCGAATTTCTCTCTTGGGTACTGTTGTCTTCCCAGGGTGAAGGACATCAATGACCATTTGCTTCCGCTGAAGTAGTCTTGTTGGTCATGAACTTCCTGGTCTGGATAGTTACTGTGTCATTCATGATGATTATCTTCAAGCAGCCAGGGAGGAAAATAAAAGCCTCTCTACCTTTCTTAATACTCCCTATCATGTATTTTAAGTTCCAGCTACACTAAATAACTACACTAAATCTCCTGAACATCCTGGTCCCCTGGCTGAAATGCCTATCCCTTCTCTCCCATCTGATGAACTTCTGCCATCCTTTAAGATCCAGCTTAGATGTTATTTTTTAAAAGAAGCCTATGATTTACTTTGTGTGGGTGGGAAAGCTATTCTTTTCAACTTGTCTTCTTTCATTACTCAGTTATAGCCCTTATTATATAGTATAGCTACCTTTGAGATCCTGGAGGACAGAATTCTGTGCCTAATTCATCTTCCTTTGCTTCCCCAATGCCTAGTACATGTTTGTGAATGTAAGAACCCATTTGGGTGAGAGCTAAATACTAACTTGTAACAACCTTATCTTCTTAAATGTAGCCTCCTTCCCAAGGGAGAATGGCAAACTTCCTAGCTATATTCCATTTGAAAAAAATTGGGTGTGAATTAGTCTGGAAAAAAATGTGCTTTACATACTCCCTTTGTGATTCACTGTAAAATGAGGTGATAACAGTCTTATTAATAGATTACCAGGCTCTTAGAAAGAAGTGATTCAATTTTGAGGACATTATACTAAGTGAAATAAAACAGTCACAAAAAGACAAATTTTTGTATGATTTCACTTGTCTCAGGTATCTATAGTAGTCAGACTCACAGAAACAGAAAGTAGAATGGTGATTGCCAGAGGCTGGGGGGAGAAGGAAATAGGCAGTTAGTGTTTAATGAGTATAGAGCTTTAGTTTTGCAAGAAGATAAAGTGGTTGAATGAATGATATGGATCTACTTAACACCACTGAACTGTACACTTAAAAATGGTAAAATTGCTCGACTGGTATGGCTCAGTGGTTGGATGTAGACTTATAATATGAACCAGGAGGTCACAGTTTGACTCCCAGTCAGGGCACGTGCCCAGGTTGCAGGCTTGCTCCCCAATAGGGGGGTGTGCAGGAGGCAACTGATCAATGATATTCCCTCTCTCTCTCTCTCCCTCTCTCTCTCTCTCTCTCTCTCTCTCTTTTCTTTTTTCTTTTTTTTTTTCCAAAATTGTTTTATTCTAATGGCCAAAATGCAGACAACCCACTTCAAAGCGCCTCCTCTGAGACTCAGGCTTCTTGGCTTGGCCAGAAGCCCATAGAGCCTGGAGGACTGGCACGTTGCTTTACGAATGATAAAAGGAATATAATTGTGAGAAACTAGTGTTCACCAAAATAAAGCGCTACCTACACTGCCAGCCAGATTGACTAGATGCATATTGACTAGATTAGTAACCAAAAAATACTAAGACTTGGGTTTCTTTAATATATATTTTATTGATTTTTGTATAGAGAGGAAGGGAGAGAGAGAGTTAGAAACATCGATGAGAGAGAGTCATCGATCAGCTGCTTCTTGCACACCCCCTACTGGGGATATGCCCACAACCAAGGTACATGCCCTTGACCGGAATCGAACCCGGGACCCTTCAGTCCCCAAGCCGACGCTCTATCCATTGAGCCAAACCGGTTTCGGCCAAAAAATACTAAGACTTGTTAAGAGGCCTTTACAAAACAGGCTTCCTGGGAGCACCCAGGAGGCTAACCACCCAGGCTTGAAAGTGAAGAAGCAAAATCGCACTGGGAATAAAATCAATATGAAAATTTCCTCTGAGAACCAGTAGAATTTTGGTTGAAGATATCTGAAGACAGCCAAATATGTGGGGTGTCCCTATGCACCCCAACAAGATCAGTGATTCTCTCTAATCATTGATGTTTCTATCTCTCCCTCTCCCTTCCTCTCTGAAATAAATTAAAAAAAATTTTTTTTTAAATGGTTAAGATGGTAAATTTCCTGTTATGTGTTTTTACCACAATAAAAAAGTTAATGTGTTTAAAAAAAAAAACAAAAGAGGGGGGGACAAGAAAGAAAAAAGATTCAGCACACCGTGTACATACTCAGTACACTGGATTATCACTACTCATTGCCCATATTTCTGCCTTGCTCTTGAGAGACTTAGTAACCCCCAAACCCAGCACAGTGTTTAGAATTTCTTATGAGCTCAATACATGTTGAAAGAATGCATTAAATAATACTTTAAATAAAAAATTAATTTCCTCCTTTCTTCTTTTGGATAATTTAAACCCTTCCTTTTAAAATTGCTCTTTAAAGCCTCAAATAATCAGCCAGCCTACTATAATTTTTATCCTTCTGTCTTCATATAATATTTATCATTTTGACTATGCTATCTTGCATCATTATTTACTTTTAAATGCACCTATCCTTTCTTTTCAGCTAGATTATAAAATCCTTGAAGGCAGGGACTGTGTACTGTTGCCTCCTAAAGTGTTTTAAATCTAGTAGCATTTTGATGCTTTAAACAGTTGGTGATGTTACCCAGGTTTACTTAGTGTTTGGGCATCTCTACAGGAGACTTCAAAACTCTTTAAAAAACCATAATGAGATACCACCTCTCACATCCATTATGATGGCTATTAGAACAGCAGCAGCAGCAACATGAAGTAGGAAATGATAAGCGCTAGCAAGAATGTTGTGGAGCCGAAACCGGTTTGGCTCAGTGGATAGAGCATCGGCCTGGGGGCTGAAAGGTCCTGGGTTCGATTCCGGTCAAGGGCATGTACCTTGGTTGCAGGCACATCCCCATTAGGGGGTGTGCAAGAGGCAGCTGATCGATGATTCTCTCTCATTGATGTTTCTCATCGATGTTTCTAGCTCTCTTTCCCTCTCTCTTCCTCTCTGTAAAAAAAAAAAAAATATATATATATATATATATATGAAAATGTTGGTGGAAGTGTAAAATGGTGCAGCTACTATGTATGGCTGATCCTCAGAACAGTATAGTAGTTCCTCAAAAAGTTAAAAATAGAATTACCATATGAATTAGCAATTCCAATCTGAGTATATATCCAAAAGAATTGAAATCAGGTCTTGAAGAGATATTTGTATAACCATGTTCATAGCAGCATTATTCACAGGAGCCAAGAGGTAGAAGCAATTCGTATTCGGTCATAGATGAATACTTCTATGTTATGTATCTTTAACCACAATCTTATTTTTAAAAGCACTAAATGGGGAGTCAAAAGACAAAGGTTTGGAGTTCTTTCTCATGTTTTGATTTTTCCTCTTTAAATAGAATAATGAAGCCTGCCCAGCTTCTGTTTTTTTATGTGAGGATCAAAGAGAAAAGATAGCAACAATAAAAAACTTTTAAGATAATTTTTTGAGGATTGTTTTTTCAGTATTCCAGTGTCTCTGATATTTTTAAATATTCATTATATGTTTTGCGTCTTATTTTGTAACAAAATACTTTTAAAGATGCCTTAGCAATAACCTGTTACCACTTCAAAGGATATATGTGTGCTGAACTCTTTCAATTTGAACTGCTCACCTTATAATTTGGTCCCAGGAAAGCAGCAAGTACAGTCCTTTTTGAGGACTATTGATGACCTAAGATTTTAATTACTGATGTGGTTTAGCATTAATTGAGGTAATACAAGCTCAGGATTTTCGTGTGAGCGTAAGAAAGCTGACCACAACTTGGTAGAATAAGTGGAAGAATTAACATTTGCTGAGTATGTACTAAGAGTCAGGTCCTACAGCAGATGTGTTGTATGCATTATCTCTTTTAATCCTCACAACAGTCTTGTCAGGTTAATAATATTAACTCATTTTATAAACAGGGACATGAAGCTCAAAGAGGTTAAGTCACCCACGATCACACAATGAATGACGGAGACGGAATTCGAGTCCAGGTCTGTGTGATTCTGAAGCTCATACTCTTTCTATTCTCTTACACTGTCTCTCAAAATGTATTTGACTCTGCTTATTGGTAATAGAGTTAATGATAAATGATATATATATAGATGTATATTTATACATTTGTATCAATTAATCTTACTTGGTCATTACAAATAAGATAGGCTGTGTAGGGATGAGTATCACTACATTTATAATAAACATAAAGTCAGAACATTTAACTTACATGACATCAACCAACCAAGAAAATAGTAGAACTTGAAAACAGGTACTGCAATTCTCTGACCTAGGCTGTTTCCACATAATCTTCATGAATTTTGTGGTTCTGATACTTTTTTTTTTTTTAATCTTCACCCGAGGATATTTTTCCATTGATTTTTAGGGAGAGGGAAAGATTGAAATATTGATGTGAGAAAAACACATCAATTGGTTCATTCATTCAACCCAACATGGCCCTGGCTATTGCTGGCTTAAGTTTTTCAAAATGTAAATGTATATTATTTTTCTGGCATAAGGAAAATAAATAAATTCTCATTAAAAATGAAACAATGTGCCCTAACCAGTTTGGCTCAGTAGATAGAGTGTCGGCCTGCGGGACTCGATTCCAGTCAAAGGAATGTACCTTGGTTGCAGGCACATCCCCAGTAGGAGGTGTGCAGGAGGCAGCTGATCAATGTTTCTCTCCAATCGATATTTCTAACTCTCTATCCCTTTCCCTTCCTCTATGTAAAAAATCAATAATATATATATTTTAAAAAAAGAAAGAAACAATGCATAAATAAAAAATGCAAGCCATCCAAAATTTTTTTTTAATATATTTTTATTGATTTCAAAGAGGAAGGGAGAGGGAGAGAGAGATAGAAACATCAATGATGACAATCACTGATCAGCTGCCTCCTGTACACCCCATACTGGGGGGATCGAGCCCACAACTAGGGCATGTGCTCTTGACTGAAATTAAGCCTGGGACCCTTTAGTCCGCAGGCCAACAATTTATTCACTGAGGCAGACCAGCTAGGGCCCAAATTTTTATTTTTACAAACACACACACACACACACACACACACGTTTTTACAAGACTGTAATAGCTGAAGTGTCCTACTTCCGCAAAGGTAAGTATAGCAGAGAGAGAAAAGATGGGGCAAGAAGGTGTGACCAGAAAGTCTAGTGAAGAGTGCTGGGGAGTGAAATTCCTCTTTTAGTGAGGTTGAAAGAATGGAGTAAAACAGAAAGAGTTTAGGAGAGTTAACTACTATTGGGTTCTGTTTTGTTCTTAAAAGTAGGTGGCAGCCCAGCCAGCATGGCTCAATGGTTGAGCATTGATCTATGAACCAGGAGGCCACAATTCAATTCCTGGTCAGGGCACATAACTGGGTTGTGGGCTCTATCCCCAGTGTGAGTCATGCAGAAGGCAGCCAATCAATGATTCTCTCTCATCACTGATGTTCCTATCTTGGTCTCCCTTCCTCTCTGAAATCAATAAAAAAAAAATATTTTTTATAAAGGAGGAGGCAGCCCTGACTGGTTTTTTAGTGGTTATAGCCTTGGCCTCTGAACCAAAGGGTCTCAGGTTCAATTTCCAGTCAAGGGCACATACCTGGGGTGCAGGCAGGAGGCAAACAACCAATGTGTCTCTCTCACATCAATGTTTCTCTGTCTCTTCCCCCTCCCTTCCACTCTCTCTACAAAATCAATGGAAAAAAATATCTTTGAGTGAGGATTAACAACAAGAACAAAAATCAATGGGAAAAAAATACCCTCAGGTTAGGATTAACAACAAAAATAAATACTTTACAGATGCTCCAGATGGTTTTTTAAAAAGCTTTTATTATGAAAAATATCAATGCTATACAATAAATAAACTAGTGTCATGAATCTCACTGTACCCATCACACAGCTTTAACAACCCATGTTTTCTTCTGTATTTACTATTATAGCCCCTACCACTGGATTATCCTATATAATAAAGAGCTGATATCCAAATGGTTGTCATGCCCTCACACCCGCATGCCACAACATCTCAGACACTCAATAATGGGAGAGAGGAATGGGGACCAGCCAGGCTGTGGCCCAGGAGAGGGACAAGCCACCCACCCTGCGGTCCCAGGCGCCAGCGCCTGTGGCTGCCACCCAGGAGAGGGACAAGCCACCAGCCCCATGGTCCCTGCCCACAGTTCGCTGTGGCCAGCCCGGGTGAAGCTGGCTCAGGTTGGGTTTCTGGGGCCGGCCAGAGGGAGTGAAGTCTGAGTCCTAGGTGCCTGCGATCGGTTGGAGGAGGGAATCTGGGTCCCAGGTGTGTGGCGAGGCAGAGGTAGTTAGAGGCGATCAGTTGTGGTGACCAGGCTGGTGGGGGAGCATTTAGGGGCGATCAGTTAGGCAGAGGTGGTTAGGGATAATCAGGCAGGCTGACAGATGAGTGGTTAGGAACCAGTGGTTCCAGATTTCGAGAGGCAATTTTGACATCCCCTGAGGGGTCCCGGATTGGAGAGGAGCAGGCTGGACTGATGGAATGCCCGCCCCCCCATGCACAAATTTCATGCACTGCATCTCTAGTTATTAAATAAGTTCTATTATTTATTTTTATTATTTATCATATTGTTTCATCTGTAAATATTTTGGTATTTATTGCTAAGTAATAAAAAACATAATCATAAACTATTATCATGCTAAATAATTCTTGTTTACACTAAAGATATGTCTACTTCAAATCATTGAAAAATTATGAGGTTATGTCCCCATTTCCATTTAAGCTTCCAAAACCTTATATCTCATTGATATATAATTTCCCCAAAGGTCCAAGATGTGTTTACACAAAGGCAGATAGGGGATTTGAATCATAAGTGGATATTGAATTTTGTTTAATTTTTTTGTATACATGTTGACATGGTTATATATATAGTTTTGAGTTACATTAATAAAGTTTCTAAGGTTGAACCATTCCTGTGATAAAATCCTAAGTTATAAAATTGAATTTGATTTGTTAAATTTATTTGGGATTTTTGTGACTATTCATGGATGAGCTTGACCTGTAAATGTTTTTCTTCTCTTACTGTCCTTGTTGGATTTTAGCTTCAAGGGTATGTCAGTCTCATAAACTGGCATTATTTATCATTTCAACAGCTTTTTTTCACCATTGGTTTTTGAACTTTCCTATTTTCTTCCTGTTTCAGTATATTCCTTAATAGTTCTTTCAGCAAGAGTGTTCTGGTGGTAAATGTTCTAAGTCTCTGTAGGTGCTTAAATAAATTTATTCTGCTTTTACTCATAATTATAGTTTATCTACTGGTAGTTACAGACTTATGTCACCTTGTTCAGGAAACCCTCTAGACTTCACAAGTTCTGAATATAATTTTATGTTAATTTCTCAGTTAAACATTCCTGAACAATATAGATAATATGAATTTGAATGGCTAATTTAGTGCATGCTTGAAGTTTTTCTACTATACCTATCTATATACTAGAGGCCTGGTATACAAAATTCGTGCATGGGAGCGGTCCCTAGGCCTGGCCGATGATCGAAGTATGAACGTCTGGCATTGAAGTGCAGGTCCCAGCTGACTTCTGGGTCCTGGGCAGCACCTGGCCCCCTAGGCCCCTGAGCGCCCTCCTCCGCCTGAGTCACGGCACCCAAGTCTCCACACAGGGATGCAGTGAGCACAACCAGACACCACAGCCTGCCCAGTGGTGCCACATGGAAGCCAGGTGGGCAGCACAGTCTCTCCTGGCTGGCTTCACAGACTAGCTCCTGCACAAACTCATGGGGAGCCCAATCAGCCCCTGTGGTTCTGGCAACTGCGGCTCGGCTCACCTAGAAGAGGTAGTATGGGTGCGGGGCGGGCTCCTGGTGGGTGCCTGGCACCTAACCACGAGGGCTTCCCTGATGCATGAGCCCTGGCGTCCAGGGGAAGGTAGTAGGGGGTGCGAGTGAGCTCAGCAGACACCCTGATTCTCACTGCTCCTCTGTCCCCGTCACCCCGTCCCCAAGTAGTGGGCGAGAGGTTGTAGCATGTTGCTGATGCCCAACATGTTCCGTGCCACCCCCTGGTGGTCAACACAGGTCAGTGGTTGAACTCCAGTCTCCCAGTCGAACTCCTGGTCAAACGACTGCCCAAGGGGACAATTTGCATGTTAGGCTTTTATTATATAGGATATAAAAGCCTAAGCTACTAAACGACGGGTCAATCAGTTGCTATGATGTGTACTGACCACCAGGGGACAGACGTTCAACGCAGGGGATGAACATATGCTAAGTCCTGAAGGCAGGAATGAACAGAGCATTTGGGAAATGGGGGACGCTTGGATTGGTATTATACAATAGTTAATGTTGGGGAACAATAGATTAGGCAGAGACAAATGATAGCATGGCTGCTAAGATGCCAAAGTGAGGCTTTAAGAATTGATCAGATAGACCAGTGGTTGGCAAACTATAGTAAGATGGTGAGCCAAATATGAGCCACCTTCTGTTTTTGTAAATAAAGTTTTCTTGGAACACAGCCATGTCCATTTCTTTACATATCTCTATGGCTGCTTTCTGGCAAAGACAGTTACCACAGAGATCTTATGGCTTACAAAGCCTTTACAGAAAGTTTGTTGGTCCCTGAGATAGTCAAGACTTGTTGAAAGGGGCATTTTAGAGAAAGGCTTTGATTCAATCAATTTAATTTAAGACTGTAAGCTAAAACTGATAAAAGATTTTGGGTGTTTCCAGAAACTCACACCAAAATGATGAAATTTTAGGTCAAAGAATAGGTAAATATAAAACTCTCTGATAAGGACAAGAATTAAAATTTTATTTAAGACCATTTTTAAAAAATCTCTTATATTTACAGCTTCTTAAATAAGGCTCCAAGACAGGTTTAGAAAACTTTAATTGAAATTTTTTCCTAGTTTGCAGACAGTGTGCCTTAAGGAATAATTTAGGTTGAAATTATATTGTCTTGCTTTAACACTTCTTGCACCATTATTTTGGTTTTCCCCCTGCTGGTATTCTTTTGTT